CTCTATAGTCGATGCACATACGGAACGATCCGTCTTTCTTCTTGACGAACAAGACCGGTGCTCCCCAGGGTGAGAAGCTTGGTCTAATAAAGCCCTTGCTGAGCAGTTCGTTAAGTTGACTGGATAGTTCCTGCATCTCGGCTGGTGCTAGATGATAGGGCGATTTGGCTACGGGGGTAGCCCCTGGAACTAAGTCGATTCTGAACTCGAATTGACGTTGTGGAGGTAATCCTGGGAGTTCTTCTGGAAAGATGTCGGGAAAATCGCGTACTACTGGAATGTTCTTTATGTCTGTGGAATCTTGGCTCACATCGACAACATGAGCAAGGAATGCGCGGAATTCCTTTCGCAAGAATTTATGGGCTTGAATGCTTGAGATGATACGAAGGTTCATGCCGGGTTTGTCGCCGTAGATAACTAGAGTTTCAATAGATGGCAAATTAAGGCGAACAGCCTTTTCATAACACATGATGTTGGCACGATGAGAACTCAACCAATCCATGCCGATTATGATGTCGAAACTTTTAATTGAGACCGGCATGAGGTCGATTGGAAATGAATGGCTATCTAGTGTTAGTGTACAACCTATGTATATGCAGCTAGTGCTCTCTGTCTTCCCATTAGCCATTTCTACAGTGAACGGTTCTCTAAGTGCATGCGATTTATGCTTAAGCAGATGAGCAAATTTCATGTTCACGAAACTCCTCTCCGCTCCACTATCAAACACTATGCATGCATATGAGTTATCGAGGAGAAACGTACCAGTGACCACTGTAGGGTCGGCAACCGCTTCCTCGTGGCCTATAGCCAAAACTCTTCCCACTCCGCCGGCATTCCCTTCCTTCGGGAAGTTCCTTTTGTAGTGGCCCGCCTCGCCACATCCGTAGCAAGTCTGGCCCACACCAGCGCCGGGGACTTGGGTGATTGGCCTTGCCGGAGCCTTGCAGAAACGGGCAGTGTGCCCCTTTCTGTTGCAGTTAGAGCACTGCATTTCCCGGCAGTGTCCATTGTGATGGAAGTTGCATTTATTGCACTTCGGCAAGTTTCCCGCGTACTGCTTTACCGGTGCAGCAGCGGCAGGTGCTATCGCAGCATGAATAGCTACGACCTGCTGCTTTTTGGTAGCTTTCTACTTCTTCTTGTCATCCCAGAATTTCCGCTTGTTGTCAGCGGCTTTGGAGGGTTTTGAGATGGCTCGGGTTGTTGTTGACGGGGTTCGCACCCCATGGTCAATGAGGCTTTGTGCCAATCGCTTGGCACTATCGAAGGTAGTGGGGTTGGAAGCTAGGACGTTCCCCGGAAATGGAGGCACCAGCCCCCAGATATACCTTTCCACCTTCTTTGCTTCAGAAGGGACCATTCCCGGACATAGCGCTACCAGATCGCTGAACCTGGCAGTGTAGGAGACTATGTCGGAGCCCTTCATGGTTAGGCTCCAGAGCTCCTGCTCTAACTTCTGAACATCGCCCCTCAGGCAGTATTCCTCGATCATAAGCTCCTTAAGAGCTTCCCAGCCGATGGCATTTGCCACTATAAGATATAGCGACTTGACATGGCTGTTCCACCACGTTAGAGCTCGGTCCGCGAAGGTGCAAGCGGCAAATTTTACCTTGCTCCCTTCCGGACAGGAGCAGATCTCAAAGATCGACTCCTTCTTCTCGAACCATTGCGAGAGGGCAATGATTCCGCCAGTTCCATTGAAGGCCCTGGGTTTGCATCTGGTGAAGTCTTTATATGAGCACTCCCTAGAGCGCACTGGAGCTTCGGCAACAGAGGGAGGCACATTAGTTCCACTCCCGCTAGTGCCGGTAGTGGTGAATTGTGCTAGAGCTGCTGTAACAGCCGCATTCACAGCAGCCTGGATAGCTGCTGGGTTGTATTGAGGAGGAGGAGGTGTTTGATTCTGAGCAATGCGCCTCGTTACTCGGCGTGGAGGCATCTTGTAGCTATAAGATCACAGAGATGAAGATATTGGTAAGAATTCAGTAGTGAGTATGATACGAGTGACTCATGAACTAACTCCCCATAGTCCAACAACACAAATGAGAGTATGATTGAATAGAAATCTAGTACTAGAAAGATGTAAGCATTTGGATATTAATTTCCACGAGATTAGATATCTGTCAATAATACTGGTATTACAGATGCAATAAGTTTGGGAAAAATGACCTAAGAGTAGGTCTTACATCATACCAAGATGAGAAAATTTTGACAGAATAAAGACCTATCGACCGAAAGTTCAAGGTCTTATCATAGACAGGAAACTAAAACTAGAGTTTTTACATAGACCTAAGTTATATCCAAAAGAAAAGAGATGAGAAGAGTATCCCCTACTGACGACGGGAACCCCTTGGGCGAACCCTTAAATCATCCATCAAACGTTCCATTTCCAGAAGGCGTCGCTCGTACACTCGCTGGCACACGCGATGCTCTATGACCTCAGCCCTAGTCTCAGCTAGCACTTGAAGTAGAGACTCACGGTCCCTTTCAGCCCTCTCAATAGTATCTTCCGACTAACGAATGCGGACAGTGTTCACCCCTGTATTGGCGTCAAGTTCCGCAATTCTTTGGAGGGCTGTCCTTCCCTGAATTTCGTTACGAGCAACCCTGCAGACCAGGATAGGCAGGACCCTGTCCGCTGAGCCTCCTTCGCTCACGTTGTATAAACTTCGGTCTCCATTGAACGGGATGGGTTGGCCCTGTTCCTGACTCCAGGTCTCCAGACTCTCCACCCACAGAGACGTCAGGCCTTGAAAAGCCGGACCTAGGTTTGGATTTGGGTTTTGAGCCACCAGAGTTAGGTCATTGACTTCTGGCTCGGAGTCAGAATCCTCCGGGAAGTTCTCAGCAAAGTTATCGTCCAATGGAATCGCAGGTTCTTCTACCGGCTCGACATCGAGCCATCCTCCGTTATTTTGGTTGGGGAAGTACGGGTCTCCGGGGATATGGAATCCAGCCATGTTATATGCACGAGAATAGGGATAAAAGAAATAATTAATAGACGTACTAATTAAGATAATTATAAGATGATCCTTACCAGTTACTCCAATACTTGCGTAGTGCATACCAGTCATATGTAACCAAAACAGGATAGACCCTCGAATAAGTGATCCTAACTCTAAGTCCACAACCAAACAAGGAACAGGAAGTAAAGCAAAGATCTCAGATTTTAAGTCTATAACACTCTAGTCACATATAACCTTAGTGTATCCACTCAACAACTATTGACATACTAATAAAGACCTTTTTAGTTTGCACATAAGTAATTATAGTAACACAAAATACTCCTATAGTATTTTAAGTTTAAGTTCTAATGTTTTCATTGTAGTAGTGTTGGTAAGTTTTTAGACTTGCTGCAACATCACAACCATTCCTAGGCACATGCAATCACTTCTCGGAAAGATATGGTTGATCAGGCTATATGACTCCCAGATCTGATTATATGTCCCCAAGTCTACTTGTGTTGTCCAACAATCGTAATACTTTTGTTCCGTCCTAGTGACACTGATTTTAGTATGAATGCAGGTATGTATACTTAGGTTAAATATTTTATTATTTAAAAGTATAAACTCTTGGTCAGAGTATTTTAATCCCGTTGTGTTTATAGTTGTATATCTTTTATGAGTTGATATACTCAATTCACTATAAACAATGCTCTGATACCAATCTGTCAAACCCCAAAACCAGAACGCTGGAAACGTTCGGGGGTGGAGGACGTCATGTACAGTATCACAACAATGCATAATAGTAAGCAAGAAACAACATCATCCATTGCATTAATAGTAATAATTTTAATACATATGTGTTCTGAAGTTTATTAGACACCAAAATGTATAATCAAAATAAAAGATGAGACTTGAATGTGCTCTGTCTTCTCAAAACCTGGCCATCGGTACATGTCTACTTGTGACCTGAGAATACAAGTTATTTTGAAAGCGTAAATCAGCATTAAAGCTGGTGAGTTCATAAGTATTTTAGTGTCATTGTTTGTATAAGTTTGAAGAATGTACTTGTAAATGTTTGATGTAAAAGTTTGTAAGTATTTGATGTAAATGTTTGTAAACTTCCTAGAAAATCCTATATTTTCTACTAAAGTAGTCTTCTACCAAGACCCAACTGTTCTCTATGTTTGTTCTTTTGTAAATGTGTGAGTTTTCCCCAAAGTATGACTATCATTACCAAAATATAGTTTCTCATTACCGTTTATGTGAGAAGATCACAATGTGAATGAATTGGGAAAAATAAAGATGTACTGTAGTTTTATCTAGGTAACTACTAATGTACTAACTACCTTTAAGCTGTTAGTTAATTAAGGTAAAATGTGATATGATTGTAACCATACTCGATTGACCAGTATAACACGACGTTCGGGACGTCGAAATGATATGACATTCGTCACCAGCAGACCTGCAGGTCCCACTGTAGCTAGCAGCAAGGTGTAGGAGGGTCAGTCCGGTATAGATCTATACACAAATTCACGTTCTCCCTCCAGGAGACTCTGGGTACAAAACGTGACACAGCAGTATATGCCGAGCCATGAAGTAGTATCTCACATTAATGTTATAGTATTCTTGTATTTCTATAGTATGTACTAGTGTAGCGTATGTTCTCTCTGTCTACTATGTAGTATGTTCTCTAGTGTATAGTGTGTAGTATGTATTGTTTCTCGTTATAGTGTTCTCTGTATGTTTCTCTTTATAGTGAGTATTGTTTCTCGTTATAGTATTCTCTATGTAATTCTCTTTATAGTGAGTATTGTTTCGTTGTTCTAGTAATAGTATTAGTGACTTCCTAAACTATACCTATTATAGTTTACTAGCAATGTTGTTTGTATGAATGAACATGTTTGCATACCTTTGCTACCCAAAGGTATTGAACTGAATGAAGGACTTTTATATCTATATACATACACATAATATATAACTAAGATTCAAAACGACCTTCGGACAAACAACCGATTCCCTAAGTCCGCAACCAAACAAGGAACTGATCCAAACCAGATGTTCGATGCCGCCGAGAAAGACGACATGTCCCCAAACCAGATGTTCGATGCCGCCGAAGTCTTCCTTTGTTCCAGAGTCAACATCGATTCCAAACGTCTCATGTGATTGTTCAATATTAATTATTTCTTCTTCGCTTTATATATTTTGATTTCAAACCTTATTAAATATGTTATCTTTCCATGATTCTAGGATAACTATAAACTTGAAAGACGACCAAATCAATGTCAAGTTTGCAAAATCGGAGACGATAGAAGATTCGTTTGAGGGAATCTCAGTTGCATGGAAGTACGTCATCGTGCCGCCTAAGGAGAAGACTAACGGCGGTCAAATCCCGGAGAAAAAATTCATCAAGCTGAAATTCGAGAAAGAATACAAAGAGAAAATAATAAATTCTTACTTGCCATGGATCATTCAAAAAGCTGAGGAACTCGAAAACCAGAAAAAATTCGTAAAGCTTCATAACCTACAAGGCTACTGTAGCGGTTATGATAAGAAGCAATCAGTAAATCTCGATCATCCATCAACCTTTGATACATTAGCTATGGATCCGATTATGAAAAAGACCATCATTGACGATTTGGATTTTTTTTTAAAAGGAAGGATTTTTACAAGAAAGTAGGGAAGGCGTGGAAGAGAGGGTATCTACTGTATGGTCCGCCGGGAACTGGGAAATCGAGTTTGATTGCTGCCATGGCGAACTACCTTAAGTTTGATATATATGATCTACAGTTGAATAATGTTGTGAGTGATTCTTGTTTGAAGAAAATGATGTTAAACACATCTAATCGATCCATTATTGTGATCGAAGATATTGATTGTAGCAAACAAACGCATGATCGGAAGAGAACAAGCTCTTCCTCCTGCACATCTCCTGTTCAACCTAAACGTTTTTCCCAGGTTTGTTTATTTAACTTCCTTTTTGCTACTTTACCCCTGGATCGGAATTAGCTTATGATTTTGTTTCTTTTCTTGTTGTGTAGTTTTCTTTATCGGGACTTTTAAACTTCATAGATGGGTTATGGTCGTGTTGTGGGGATGAACGTATCATAATCTTTACAACGAACCACAAAAAAAGACTCGATCCAGCATTGCTTCGACCAGGAAGGATGGATGTGCACATTCACATGTCGTATTTGACCATTGATGGGTTCAAAACACTAGCTGCTAACTATCTCAACATTCTTGACCACCATTGGAGATTTACTGAAATCCAAGACTTACTCCGTGGCACCAAGGTTACACCCGCGGAGGTGGCGGAGGAACTCATGAAATCCGATGATCAGGAGGTTGTGTTGGAAGGAGTTGTCAAGTTTTTGCAACGGAAGAAGACAGAAGAGGATGCAGCTAAGGAGCGAATTAATAAGGGTAAAGATGCAGTTCTTGAAGAAAAGATTAAAAAAATTGATGCAGAGAAGGAAAAAATTGAATCGAGTGGATAGTATCTAAAACAATTATATTTTGCTAAATTTAATCATCAATCAGATGTTGGTTAACATGTTAGAAACAAATATATTTCTAGTTATTGGTATTATGCTCTGGGGTAGTTTTGATCATGAGGAACCTTAGTTATGCGTGTGTCCTATCTTTTAATTCTTTTCTTTTAATCCAAAAAGAAGAAAAAAGAAAGAAACATTGACAAAAAATCTAACTTTTGTCGGTTTGGCTGTTGGAAAACAACCAAAACCTTTGGTCCTTAATGTTGTCGATAAAGACAATGATAATGATGGAACTAAAGACAAGTTCATATTGGTAATGTTGTTTGACACACTTTTTGAGTTGTTCGACGCACAACATTTCGTTGACGTTACACAGGGAGAGGGGTGGGTTGATCCACGTTGCGTCAGGGAAGAGGTTCATCCGATATATGTGTGAGAGAGGTGAGAGAACTATTTGATGATGGTTGCTTTATTGGAAACTTATGGTTTTTGTTTAGAGATACTTAAGAATAAGGGGAACTGTGAGATTATGGTCACATATATTGATGAAGAAACGTTGTGCAAAAATGAATTTTAGATGAACAATTTTTGCATAGTATGATTCTCTAGGTCATTGTGATCTTTAACAATAGTAAGGGCATGTTTGTTTTGCACAATTCCTTAGGAATTAAAAAGAATTGGAAACTAAAATCAAGATGAAAACGTGTACAAGCTTAACAAATGAATGAAGTTAGATTTCCATAATAAGAATTTCGGGAAAATGACACATTAGCCTTACTATGTATTTTGACTTTGCTCATTCAATCCCTAAAATTATTTTCGAGCCTTTTAAGGAAATAAAGTGTTTAATGACATGTTGATCTAGTCCCCTTAACCTTTTTTAGCCGGTTAATAGACATATGTGACTTTTAGTTGATTAGAAAAAATAAATTAAATCCACCTATCTCTCTCTATCTCTCTCACATACGCACACCTGCAAGTTCCTTCCATAGTCTCCTCCCACCCTTTTTATTCATCGATCCGTCATGCCCCGACCCATCTGATCGATCCAGGTTGTGGTGTTTCCTGTCTTTCTGTCATCTCCGACCGACAACTAGTGCCCTCCCCCATCCGATTCATCTTCTCGGTGACCCATGTGAGAAACTTCAAACCAAAAAAACCCACATACAATCATTATCAGTGAAGAACATCTCACAACTACATACACAAGACCCGGAAGGAATTTATACCCGGATCAAATCTAATTTATGGATCGGTATGTCAAGCTTTGTCGATGGGTGTAGAGAGCAGCCTCTCCGCTAAGTGCTTGTTCTTCATCTGTCATCGTTGAGGTCCTAGTGCTAGGCATACCAGATTACAATAAATTAAACATTTGGTCGAGCACAAGACCATAACACCTCTATTCTTACTTTCCTCTATTCATTGTCTGCACCCAGTTCCATTTTTAACAATAATAGCTATAAATCTAAACAAAACTCAAAAAAACCTACAAAACCAATTTTTTTCTTCAGGTTCTCATATATTCATGCTTAGTATAAGTGTACCCGACCCAACAAGACCCACCTTCTTGCTGACCATCCATATGTAAAACGAACACCACCACCTGTTGGATTTTAGAGCTCCAAAGACAGGGACTAAAGGAATCTGGTGGTGTTGGGAGCGTCTTATGGTCTGGTACTGAATGTAGGTGTATAACGAAACCCCTTTCGTCTTCTTTAATTGGGTTTACAAGTCCAGGGCTTGAAACCCCTTGAACCCAAGAACAAATCCCCTTGAAACCCCATGTCTTCTAAACACGAAGTTTATGGAAAAGGTCGTCGAAGAAGGAAAGAGATCGACGATGCTTTCTTCAAACTGAGAGAGAATATTTTCAAGAGATCGACTATTGCTATCGTTTTCAGTCTCTACAACGTCGATTTAAAAGCTTGATCTCCGAAAATCGGTTTCTGTCCCACCCTCCACCTTACCGGTCGACTTCGAAGACAAACACCCCCTCTGAAGCCGTTGATCCGTCTTGGCCCTTTTCCTTTCACATTTTCTGCTAGACAAATGAGACAACGAGAGCATGGTCTAATTTCCTTGAGATTTGATTTTACGATGAATAGGGTTTGATGGAGTGAGGGCTAGTCAAAAGGACTGCCATCAAAGAAGTCTCCTTGAACTCTCCAAATTAAAGAACTCAAACAGAGCACAGTTGGTGATGCGGCAAGTTTGGTCAACAAATTGGAAAAAATCAAAGTCAATTTAGGGGAATTGGTCAACAAATGCCAATTTGGCAAAGGGGTAACCGAGTGACCCCTTCACTTTGGCCAAAAGGACTTAATCGGCCCGACAAAAAAGACTTGTTTCCCTCATAAAGCCATCAAAATAGTTAAGGGACTAAAAGGGTAAACCCTAGAAAGTTTATAGGGTGTATATGTCATTTTCCCTAAGAATTTCCATAATAAGAATTTCATTCCTTAATTGAAAGATTTCCAATTCTTCCATCCTTGAACAAGATTCTAAATTCAATTCCTTATATTTTGTTTGAAATTAAACAACTGTCCTCCTATTATTATGCGTGAAATCAAAAAAAGAAATCAACTCTTTGATTTTCATATCTTCTACGATTACATGCTCATTGATTATATATTTCGTCATTCGCATTTCCAAACGATTACATCTATCGATCGTTATAGATCGTTGCTGCTGTGCCATTGTATTTCTATGGTTCGTCGCTGTTCTTGTTAGTTGTTGTATCGTCTCCATTTACAAGTAAGCCTCTCGAATCCTTCTTTTGTTTTTGCAACCAACTGTGTTTTACTATTGATTTATACAATTTAAGTATGTGCTTTCATCTTTGCTTCATATACAATGACATAATATATATATTCATATCAGCGCTATTGTACTTCATCTATGGTTTCTTTGGATAAATTATCAAGAATTCTCTATACATGTATCCTGACTTGTAAATTTTTTGGGCTTAGATTTATTGATGGGATGGGAAATTACTGTTTTTATACGTATGCACATCAGGTGTAGGTGTTTGTGCTTTACCCTCTACGATAATTTTTTTATTTGCCTCTGTGAAATCACTGGTTTTAAGATCCATTTGTCATATGGGTTTTGTGACAACCCGAAATTTTGTCCGTTTCCGTTACGCGATTTCCGTTAATAAAATTTCGAATTCATTAACTTTTCCGTCAAACTTCTTGGTTTAAGAAAATAATCTAGTTATATATATAATTAAATTATTTACGAGTCGGAACCAAAAATCGCGCGGAAACCCGAATATCTCGAAAAATCAAACAATTTCGGCCTAAGTGAGTTTACGACCGTAAACTCGTTTACGGCCGTATACCCGTTTACGGCCAGCAAAGGGTGGACCCCCCACCACCGACCACAAAACCCCTATAAATATGAGACCCCCACCCCCATTTGAACACTTCTGGCCGAAAACTCTCTCATTCTCTCTCTAAAAACCTTGACCGTAAACACCTAAAAACACCTTCAAACTTCAGGAAAACATCGAGAAACACCGTTTGGAGTCACTTCGGGACGTCTAGAGCACTTATCTCTTCGAAATCAGCACCATTGTTCTTGAGTTTACGGTCCATCTTCAAGGACCGTAAACCCTGTTCTTGAGTTTACGGTCCAAGCCTTCAAAGACCATAAACCCTGTTCTTGAGTTTACGGTCCAAGCCTTCAAAGACCGTAAACCCTGTTCTTGAGTTTACGACCGTAAACTCACCAATCCTTCAAAAACCGTAAACCCCAGTTCACGGCCGTAAACCCTATTCACGGTCGTAAACTGTCTGTCGACCGTAAACACCTTTCTAAGTAGTGCTTTTGGCTGAAAACCCACTTTCCTCGATTCGATCAAGTCCCGGTAACATTCCTCAACCGAACACAAGTGTTCTTTTAACACTTTATCTAACGAAATCGCTAATTTAGATACATATACATATTTATTTGATAATACGATTCCGTTAAGTGTCACGTGCAACAACTCGAGGATCTTCATTTCAGTCAGCACTTTCACGCAACAACTGTGAGTTCATACCCCTACATTTTCCGTATTTTTAATGTTTTCAGGGGGGAATACAAGCTGAACATAAATGTTTTCAAAACTTATGCAAATCTCATACTTTAACCCTTTTGTACTATGTTGAGCATAAGGGACGTTTTCACTAAAATTGCATAGTTTTCCGGACACGCTATTCACTATACATGCAAACTATAATCGGTATAGTTTGGGATTCTTCTAAACATAACCAGTACAGAAAACTTTCACTACTAAACATATGCGCTAAGACAGAAACAGTTTACAGTTACCCCACTACCTTATCATGGTTTTCATAACTATAATTATCACTACATACGGTATACATACGGATTTTCACTATGGTAGAACACTACTACACTACATGTAAACTAGATTGTACGATACTGTGAGGCGCTACTTCACTATTGTACCCTTAGGTGTACAGGGATAAATCCTATCATAGTATAACTAGAGTCTCCTGGAGGGAGAGCGTGAGATTTGTGAATAGATCTATTTGGGACTGACAATCCCACACCCGAACTGCTAGCTACAGTTGGGCAGGCATGCCTAGGGTGACAAATGTCATTTAACTCGACGCCTGAAGAACGTTGGAAATGTCTCTAGTCATATCAAGCATGGTTATACAACTCACAATATGTATAAATCACCTTTAGTTTACTACTTGACACCCTTCAACAGTTTTATTTACACTAAATAGAACTAATACACACTACAACTGGAAAACTTTCAGAGTTTACAAATAGAACTGAACATACAATGGTTTCACGTACGAAATACTTATGCATCGTGATTAGCATTTGCTAGTCACATGAAGTATTACTTTCGCGCACCACTACAGTTTTCAGTAACAAACATTCACGATTTCATACAGAATTGAGAACACTGCATCTTCATTAAAGAAAATATCGGATTTTCTTGAAACAACGCAAAACACTTTTACGAACTCATCAACGAT